ATAAGAAATTAGTGTTGGTGGAGATGGGCTTCTGAGATTGCCCGTCAAGTTGGTTTGGGTTTTGGCTTGCCCCAGGTGAAGGGAAGGAAGTGGTTGGTGAAGGATTCCTCCATGTTTTAGAGAGAGAAAATAGGTGTGTTTGTTTTTTTGGTAATTAAGGGGTAGCTGTAGAGGATGCTGGGGGCAGACGAAGGACGGCAAAAGCTTTTAGGTGAGGGAGGTGCTACTGAAATGGAGTTTGGAGTGGATTCTCTTGGAGGTGGTTGTTTGATAGCAGAATATGAGCATGATTCAATTCACCATTTAACTTAAACCTGCTCAGTTGCAAAAACAACAGCAAATCCTACAGTATCTCAAGTCTAGATTCTTTGTGGCCGCTTGGAGCTGGGAGATTGGATATGGGATAGAGCTCGTTTTGGCATGTGAAGTTAGCTGCCGGTGAGGGAGATGGGAGGCTTGGCTTTCATGACTGCCTGCACTAAGAAGCGGTAGCCGTGATTTGTAGGGCTCGGTGAGTGAAGTATAGGCACTGATGGGCTGTTCGTAGGTGGAGCTGTGTGAGAGAACGAAGAACTCACTGCTTGCGCTTGGGGTGCAGGGGTTTGGGACAGTAGGCTGAGAAGCTGCTGGTTTCAGTTGATGGCGAAGTATACTTCAGGTAAGGAGAATAGATGGGAGATCGGCGAAATGCTGGAGTGGAGGGCTTCAGCTTGACCTATGGAAGCGAGGAGCTGCTGTTCGGGATGGAGATGGTTTCCCCACGGGCTCTGTGGTTTTTGGTTCTTGCATGAGGGAGTGGAGATGCCGGTGAGAGGTAAAGCGATTGGGGAGGGGCAGGCGAAGGCATGGAGGGGGGAGTATTCCATGCATGCTGGGGTCGGAGACTGATGTTTGCATCATGGGAGAGAGGGTGTGTCCTGAGAAATCTTTGGGGAGGGAGAAAAACTGAAAATAATAATGAGGGCAGGAATTTTTTGAAGAAGATTTTTTGTTTCCTTGTTTGTACCATGAGAAAGTGTTAATATGAGAATAATAACAGTTATTTTCTTATTGATGCAAAGATCGACATAAATACTCATGACAAGATCTACAAGTAAAGAAAGAAATAAGAACAGGATCAACAAAAAAAGGAAAAGAATAATAAAGAATCCAAGCTAATAACTCAAAATAAATCGAAATTCATAATGACTAAAACTAGTCATTAATAAATATTCTAATTCTCTTCCTCAAATTGAAGCGTAGATGTCAGTCATGTTCAACTTAGATTTGAAATCATCGAACAGTGGTTGAGGAAGGTTCTTTGTGAGAAAATTTGCTAGCTGACCACTAGATGACACCAACAAAACACAAATTTTCCCGGACTCGAGCTTTTCCTTAGTGAAGTGTCTGTCAATCTCAATATGCTTGGTGCGATCATTTTGGATTGGGTGGCGAGCAATGCTAATGACAGTCTTTTTATCACAGAACAACTGTAGGAGAGTGGAGACTGTCATATGTAATTCATGAAGCATGATGCATAACCAGAGAGCTTCACAAATTCCCAAAGATATTGACCGAAATCCGTCTTCCGCACTGCTGCGAGCAACTACAGAATGCTTTTTGCTTTTCCATGTGATCAAGTTTCCCCATACAAATGATCACTATCTCAAGGTAGATCGCCGATCATTGACGGATTAGACCCAATTCGCGTTTGTGTAAACAACAATAGAATGAGAGGTGTGGAAGGAACAGAACAAACCTGAGCTTGATGCGCCTTTTAAATAGTGAGGAATCCAGTGGACAGCTTGGAGATGATGCTCATAGTGATCATGCATGAATTAACTGACTATCCCAATTGCATATAATATGCGGATTGTGTATGAGTAAGTTAGATGAGTTTCCCTAAAAGATACTAGTAGCAAGTTTTGTTTACAAGAAGTGCATTGGGAACATCAATACTTTTTTTATTGGGATCCATTGGGACAACCACTGATTTGCATAGAAGAAGTTTGTTCTACTTCAAAAGGTTACTCACTTATTTTCGCTGAAACAGACAAATACCCTGAGATGACCGAACAACTTCCATGCCTAAGAAGTCCCAAAGAGATCCCAAGTCCTTCATTTCAAAGGAAGCAACAAGAATGCCTTTCAGAGACTCCCATACTGGTAGATCATTGCCTGTGAGATGCCGAAAGAAGAGAGTGTGATCCGATTGATCATGAATGAATCCATGACCTATCACCACTTTTGTGAATTTTTTGAACCATGCTCGTGGATTGCTTCAATCCATAGAAGGATTTTCATAGTCTACATGATTGCCCCTGGGAGGCAATGAAGTCAAAGCTCAGAGGAAGAGTCATGTATACATCCTTTACAAGAATGCATTCTTGACATCAAGCTGAAATAAGGGCCAATCTAGATTCACTACAAGGGATAAGAGGTCCCAAATGATGTTTAATTTAGCAACTGGAGTAAAATTCTCTTCATATTCAACTATATAGGTCTGTGAGTACCTTTTGGCGACCAATCGTGTCTTGTTGCGTTCAAAGGATTTATTAGATTTAAAGTTGCTGCTAAAAATCCATAGACATCTCACTACTTTCTTGTGATGAAGATGATCATCAATGTCCCAAGTATGGTTTCTATAGGGCATTCATCTCCTCAATGAAGACAACTTTCCAGGCTGGGCCTGCTAAGACAGTCTGAATAGTAGATGGAAGCTGATGGTTGGTCAGGTCCAGAGCAAATGCTCTATAGGTTGGCAATAATTTGCGAAAAAAGATATAGTTTGTCATGACATAGACAGAGCATATCTAATTGCATATCTTACTAGAGAAACTGACTTTCTCATTTAGAGTAAAAGCAGTGCTGGGGATGTCGTCTTTAGGAGATTCAATGTCCAACAAGGGTTTAGCGACCTCGGGAGTAGGTGTATCAGAACGAGTGCGATGAGTGTAGACATGGAGAGTGGGAGGATGAACTGGTGGAACTAAAGGGACAAATAGCTCATTGGTGGTAGGAGAAGTGGGTGGAACCAAAGGAAGAAAGGGTTCCTTAATGGTAGGTGATGTGGGGGGAGGGGACATCGACAGGATTAAGGTAAGAAACAATGTTCAAGAATTCTAGTTCCCTCACTGGAGGTCGAGTTAGGAAAGTACGAAACACTTAGAACTTATTTGTGGTAGGGTCAAGCCATCAATACCCCTTTTGAGTAGCAGAGTATTCGAGGAAAGCACATTTTATAGACCTGAGATCATGACTAAAACTAGCCATTAAAAAATATTCTAATAGAAATGAAATAATTTAATTCATGCCTAATGTCAGGTGCTTATTTTGGAAGTATGTGTAGTTTGCGGTAGGAGATAGGGTGTGTCTAAATTTTTGACTCTTTCGGTAGAATACATTGGCTAAACGTAGGAATGAGAAGCTCTCCCCACTCTACTTTGTTCATTATAAGATTGCTGAGTGGATTAGGGTGGTGGCTTATTGTTTAAAATTGCCGCCTTCGTCGACACTCCATCCAATGTTCCACGTATCGTAGCTGAAACGTGTTGTGGATTATAATGTGTCCTCTTCTTCACTTCCCCCTATTTTCATGGAAGATATGAAAGTTTCCTTGGAGCCACTTGAGTTAAAACAGATTCATTAGGAATCAACAAGTGGGAAAAAAGTGTTGATTATATGGAAATGATTGCCAGATTGTGATGCCAGATGGGATTTATACAATTTGATCCAATAACAGTTCTTCTGTTTCATTTTGAGGACAATGTGCCTTTTTCGGAGGGGAGTAATGTATACAGTGTCGTTTGCCTCGGGCCACACTAAGTTAACGATGAGCTTGCCAAATAATTTGAAGAATTATGTTAGGCGCAGGACTAAAAGTGCAACTTAGTTATCATTGTAGGGCATAAGTAGAGCTTAATATATTTAGGGTTAGGTTATGTGTGATTGTTGTCTTGAATCAGAGAATTAGGGTTAGGATTTGGGAGAGATTACCAACCTCTTGAATTGTAGGTGTTTTATCTATTATTTATTAAGGATTATATTGTTTTGATTTGATACCAGTGATGTCTAATGTATTATTTATGTGAAATTTCTATGGAAATTTGTCTCATTCCCTGTCAGAATTTGGAAGCAAGAATGGCAATTAACGAACGAGATGTGAACAACGGTGCAATGATGAGTGAATGAACGCTGAGATACTTTTGGACCTTCGTAGGAATCCCCAAGGGATCTTAGTCCACTTGTCAATGAATGGCGGAATCTTCATGGATCTTCACAAAACCTTCCAAGGGATCTTCACATGACTTTCAGTTTTATCTTAATGAGGTTTTTGCTAAGTGAAAGACTAGATGCATAAGACGATTTAGACGAATTTGATACTATGAAAAATGGTGCACAATGCTTGCCCTGCTCTAGAGAGTTATAATCATTATATAGGAAAGAATAGGTAATATACAAGACAATCATTGAGTGATTTGCTCAATCAAATTTCTCTTAATGATATAGAAAATAATTATATTCCTAATCTATGATTATTTATAGTTACACTAATTAATTATACTTATTTCTAGCTATATAATTTACAGGTTCTAATTGATATGAAAATAAATTCTTAATTTAATGCAGGAGTATTACGTTGATTAGATAGAGGATAATATTTTTTATGTCAAGTTTTTTCTAGACTTCTCAATTAGTAGGAGACTTGTCTGAGGAACGATGCCAATATTTCAAATTTTCTTTGACTTTATAGAGAATATTTCAGACTTTTGCTTCTAACCATTGTTTTGCGTTGAAATATTAACCTCATCATGAAGATGCTTAAAATGAGTATGGGAGTTTCCATTGCCAGTTTGAGAATTTTTATTAATGTGCAATGAGAGATGTTGCAGAAGATCATTGTTATCACAGTTAAAATCAACATGTTATTTATGAACTTTTTATTTTGTTCATTCATTAGTACTGATTTTTATGTCTCCATTTGTTATAAAATTTGGTTCCAATAAACGAATTTCCTGTAGGCTTTTGAGATCAGTGAAGGGGAAAGCAGTTATGTTCCTTCTATTGCCATTGTGGGTCGACCAAATGTCGGGAAAAGTAGTATTTTGAACTCTTTAGTTGGTGAGGACAGAACTATTGTCAGCCCAATCAGTGGAACCACCCGTGATGCTATTGATACTGAATTTACTGGACCGGATGGACAGGTCAGCTTTCTACTTCTTATTAGGATATTTAAGAGGGATAGAAAATTATGAGACATCACAGAACTTTTTGTTACATTTTTCTTCTCATGTTTCTCTTTAGATAGTGTTAATTTATTGGGATTAATGTCAGGCAACTTTTTTTTCCCCAGAAATATAGACTTATTGATACGGCTGGAATTCGACGGAGAGCAGCAGTTGCTTCAGGTGGTAGCACGACTGAGGCATTATCTGTGAATCGGGCATTTCGGGCCATTCGTCGTTCAGATGTGGTTGCACTTGTTATTGAAGCAATGTCTTGTATAACAGAGCAGGTAATTTGAAGCTCCCTCTTTTTCCCACCATGGGGAAATATGACAACCTGAAAAATTAGGGCAAATATATTTCTTATTTTAATAATTCAAACAACTCAATGAGAATACAAAGATAAGCACCTGCGATTCGAGAGGTAGACGATCTTTCCTAATTTCTACAATTCAAGAGGTAGGAAATCTCTCTCAAAATGTAAACCTAAAACTCACAACTCAATCTCATGCATAAATCTAACCCTAGACATAACAAACATATTTTTACCCAATAATAATAATAAGAAAAGATTGTCCTTAGGTTAGACACTCATTGAATAATACTTCTCCCCAAATGACACCTTGTCCTCAAGTTGGGAAAAAATGAGAGCGTTCCTTCTCCTCCACAGTTGTCTCTATTTCTTCATTATCTATTTCCTCGTCCTGCACTATGAGAACTAGTAATCTTCGATCTTTGTAATGGTGTCTTGGAGTAAACTTCTCATGGTTGTTGTGCTGTTTGCCGCTGGATTCTGGTTGCTGCTTGCTAGAGCGACGAACGGTTGGATGGTTGGGAAGGATCACACTCTGATGAATGCTTCAAAATTCTTGCGACTCATCTGTTTGCTCAAGAAGGAGCTTTTTGTGGCTGGGAGGTGGCTGTTACCTGCGGATGCTCTTGTGCAAGACATTAGAGAAAGGAAGCCTGTAGGGAGAAGCCGGGAAATGTTCAGAAGTCTGTAGGGAGGAACACCTGGAAGCCTACAGGGAGAAGCATGGAGGGAGCCGCTTGCAAGGAGAGGATCTAGCAAAGGGCCTGCAAGGACTAGTGGCTGCTGAAAGAGCTAGAGTTTGTTTCCATGCTCTAATACCATGCAGAAAGACTTGAGAGAGAATTCTCATAATTCTTATTATTCAATCTTCAATTCTAAGGTTATATATATAGGTAAACTGGTCCCTCCTAATTTACAATATTAGCAAATATATCTAGCCTAAAAATGGAAAGGAAATAATTCTAAAATAAACATAGATATAAAGAGAATAAAACTAATCAGGAGTTTCTCAAATTCAATTCAATTCAATTAATAGGGAGATCGATCCTCTCTGTGGAAGTATATTGCTGATGAGACTAGTAAGCTTGTCACCGACCATATAGATATACAACTTGACCTGCGATTTGTGGATGAGCAAAGAATCATAGATCATGATATGGAGCGGCTTAAGAATAGAGAGATTCATTTTGTTTGTGTATTATGGAAGCATGGAACTGAAAGAGATGCTTCATGGGAGAAAGAATAAGAAATGCAAAAAGTTATTCACATCTTTTTAATTAAGGTTTGGAAGATATTCTTTTACTATAAATTTTGAGGATGAAATTTTTATAAAAGGAGATTGTGTTGTGAGTTATATACCAGTTGTTGTGATATATATATATAGAAATAAAATAAGAGAACGATCAACGATGAAGCGAAAAATAGAACGAGAGTTTCACACCAGAAAAGAACAGTAACACAGCGGAACACACAGATTTACGTGGTTCAACAAACTGCCTACGTCCACGGAGTTGCAGAGGATTTTACTACTTAAGAAATTTACACCAGTCAATCGTCTTGACTTACAAGAAGAATCTCTCACTTTATTGCTCTCTCTTCTTCTCTCTCTATTCTTCTCTCTTTACACCGAGATACACCGAAGAAGATAAACTTACAGGAGAAATCAACTCATTTTCTTTTCTGTCACAAGCCACCAAGAAGAAACAAAAAGAACAATCTTCTTTTTTTTTTCTTTCTTCTTCTGCTGCAAGAAACTGCTGCTTACACTTTCCTTCCTCTATCCCGAGGAAGCCTGAAGAAGAACACCAAAAACTGTGACTTCTATGAAGGAGAACCGTGCTATCTTAATTTTCTTCCTCTTCTGTTCACAACTTAAAAAAGGTGAGGGGCGACGTCATTTCGCGAATCGTAGGTGGGAGCAGTTCGCGTAACCGTAAGGTAGCGGTCGCGACCTCTCGCGATCGAAAGAGCGGGAGTGAGAAGCGTCTATTCGCGAGTTAGCTTCGCGTGAGCGCGAGAGTAGACGGAAGGGATCGGGCTCCAGTTAACAAATCTCCCACTTGGAGACTAATATACAAGCTACAACGTCTTCTTCCTTGATCAAAATAAAATATGTTGAGATTTTCATACCTATTTTACACTGATTTTGATGATATTACACTTTAAAGAAAGATATTTTTGATGTTTTGTTGCAGGTATGTTGAATTATGATCATTAGAGCAAAAATATGCAAAAAAGAGCGAATTTGAAGCAAAAAAACCAAATATGAAGATATGATCTTGGGCGTCGACGGCGAGGTCGACACCGCCGACGATGAGTTTTTCCCGAGAGTCCAGAATTAAAAATTCTAGAAGGCCACCGACGACGCCATCGAGGCCCCTGATGGCGAGCACGTCTGTTCTCTCAACAGATGCATTGAATGTGGACAATTTTTGAAGGGCTTGGGCAACTCTTGAAAACTCTTCTATAACATTAAAAGAAACATTTGGAAGCCGAAAAAGGGAGTCCGCTGAGTCTTTGTTGTTTGTGGTGCCCATTAGAGTGTAGAGAGTGATTAGTATTGTGAGGAATTCTTCGAGAGGTTGTAAAAGTGGAAGAAAAGCGAGAGATTTCTTCCTCCTTGCCGCTTCGAAGGAGAATTCTGTGTGCTGTAAAGAAAGGAAGAGATTCAGAGGAACTTCGAGGAGTTTGTTTGGGAAGGAATTAGAGATAAGTTGTATTTATTTATTGAAGTTTGTATGACTTTGCTTTTATATATAAATTTCAAATTTTGTCGTATCTTCTCCATGAGTTCTGAGTAGTTTTCTTTATCTTTCTCCTTGTCTTGAGATTTTGTGAAATGATGATTTGAATTGGTTGTGCCATGAGAATGTTAAAGAAGTTGTGATGATTTTTTCACTTCAATCTTAATTTACTTTCAATCTGGCCAATTGATTTGTTAAAATATGTTGAGTTTTACAACTAAAGTGAAGATTATATCCAAGATTTAGGGAGGTCAAAGTCCTTGAAAGTTGGGTGCAAATAAATAGGAAAATAAAAATTATCGGGCGTAAAATTGGAGATTTTAGAGTGACAGACTAAAATTCTCAATTCGGTCATATCGTTTGGGTGCTGAAGTTTAGATGTTAGCCCTCAGGTGAGAGGAACGTGGGAGCTCCGAAGTGAGAGCCGGTATTCTCCCAGCCTAGCCGCAGATTCAGTAAGCAAACATAGGATTAGTCAATGTTCTATATGCCTGGTCCAAAGGGTAAAAAATATGTATGCTTCTATTTGGCACAATACAATTTGAACTGATTCAATTTATCCTTTCACTTAAATTTCTTGATAAAGAGAAGGATGTTTTCTTATATATTGAACTTCACATTAGAAACTTTATTAGTAAAATTAGTTAAATAAGAGTTTATTAAAATTACATTTTTATTTTAATTGCCTATTAGTGACAAATATGCAATTTGAACTATATTATTATGATTAAGTATTGTTTTTTTAAATTTTAGTTCGTAACCTCTAATATTACTTGAGCGATACAGATACTTGCGTTGATAAGTGTGACTTTGCAATTATTGAATATTTTATACACATCTTTATCAAATCTATAATCGTTGTCAAGTTTTTGGCGCCTTTGCCGGAGATTTAAATCTTCTAGCAGCAATATTAAATTCTTGTATTTTTAAGCATATATAAAGTCGTTGTCATTCCTCAAATTGATATCCTCCACTGGCGGCGTCGACTTTTACTTCAAACATGAATCCTCCACCTCTGCAACTCAAAACCTCTGTCTTCACACCAGAAAACCAACTGAAGTTGTGCACAACTTCAGTTTCTCAAGAGTAATACCCTCAGTCAACATATCAGCAATGTCCACATAGCCTTGCATCTCCAAGCTATTTCCTAGATTACTCTTGTCTCTGCTTATAACTCCCACTGCATGAACAATATTCTGCCTCAGTTGAAAGCCTTTTTCAACAAGTTTAGCCTTGTACCTTTTACTACCATCAAACTCAGTCTTCACCCGGTATAACCACTTGTTGTGTAATGCCTTCTTCTCTGGTAGAAGTTCTGCCAGCTCCCACTTGTTCGAAATTTCATATTTCAAGATTTCTTCATAGCTTTGTGGTTCTCCACTATCTGTTTGTGAAACAATAAGAATGGGTGCTCCGGACCTACTCTCCTCTTTACTTCCATCATCAACAGAACTATGAACTGTCAGTAATAGTGCATTCTGTACTTCTTCAGATACCACATTTGCGCTATTATTCTCCATATTCTTGGGATTCCTGCAGTTCTTCTTTATGTGGTCAGCCTTGCCACAATTCCAGCAGATTGCCTGCTGACTAAATTTTGATTTTGATCTCCCTCTATTTGAGTTCCTGTCCTGTGATCTCTCTCTGAAATCAACATTCAGTGCCGAACTCGAACCTGAGATCTCGCCAGAACCTTTTTTGCGCACCTCTTCAGCCAAAATCAAATCACGAATATCATCACATTTCAGTTTAATTTACCTGCAAAACTGCTAACTATCATCCTCATGGCTTCCCAACTATTGGACAACGATGACAACAATATCAGCGTACGTATCTCATCATCAAAATCAATTTCAACAAATGACAATTGATTCATGATAATATTGAAATCATTCAGGTGTTGAACAACAGAAATACCTTCCAACATCTTCAAGTTGAATAACTTCTTCATCAAGTACACCTTGTTATTCACCATGACTTTTCATACAGATCTGATAAGACTGTCATGAGATCTGCAGTCGTCTTTCCTTGATGACGTTGTGTGCAACGAATCTCGATAGGGTCCATCGAATAACCCCCAAAACTTGTTGATCCAACAAATTCCATTCAACCTCATTCATTCTTTCAGGTCTTTTCCTCAATAATAAAAGATGAAGTTTCTTCTCATAGAGGTAGTTCTCTATTTGCATCCTCTAGTAACCAAAATCTGTGTCATCAAACTTCTCGATCACTAAAACCTTCACTTTATTTGCAGTCATCATTCTTTCTTCAGATCCAAAACCACGCTCTGATACCAGTTGTTGTGGTATATATATAGAAATAAAATAGGAGAACGATCAATGACGAAGCAAAAAATAGAATGAGAATTTCACACCAGAAAAGAATAGTAACATAGTGGAACACACAGATTTACGTGGTTCGGCAAATTGTCAATGTCCACGGAGCTGCAGAGGATTTTACTACTTGAGGAATTTACACTAGTCGATTGTCTCGACTTACAAGATGAATCTCTCACTTCGTTGCTCTCTGTTCTTCTCTCTCTACACTGAGATACATCGAAGAAACTCTACACTGAGATACACCGAAGAAGACTAACTTACAAAAGAAATAAACCCAATTTCTCTTCTGCCACAAACCACTAAGAAGAATCCAAGGGAGAACAATATTATTCTTCTTCTTTCTTTTTTCCTTCTGCCGCAAGAAACTACTACTTGCACTTTCCTCCCTTTATCCTGAGGAAGCCTGAAGAAGAACACAAAAAATCGTGAGTTCTATGAAGGAGAACCGTGCTCTCTTAATTTTCTTCCACTTCTGGTCGCAACTTAAAAGAGGTGAGGGGCGGCGTCGTTTCGTGAATCGTAGGTGGGAGCAGTTCGCGTAACCGTAAGGTCGCGGCGAAACCTTTCGCGATGGGAGGAGAG